TACAAGCAATGGTGAACAGCAATGGTGACCAACGTAGCAGTGACATGCATTGTGACGAGCAAGCAGTGACAGAAATGGTGAGCAGCACTTGCGACAGTAATAGGACAGCAACAAGTGACAATCAATGGCTACACGAATAATGTGCAGTAATGTGAGCAGAGCCAGTGAAAGCAGCAGTGACAAGCAGTCAGGTGATAAGCGCGTGACAGCAGCAATGACAGGTGAGGTATTACACTGCGCCTCGACGCCTAGCAAATTAACCGGTTAAGCTGCCGGCATAAGCGGCAATGCAGTTTACCTGCTATCCTTAGGACAAACAGCCGGAGATTGCTTCATTCTGGGATGCCATTTGTGCTGCACAGGAGGGGCGCTCGGCAGGAGGTACAGACGTTTCTTTTGTTAGGCCGGTCTGACTGACGGGATAAACGGTGAGAAGAAACCGACGGCGTTGTACTTACCTCTGTGGGGTCCCACGGCCAGCACGTAGCCGCTATGTTGAGACGTTAAAAGAGAGAGCGTGGTGCTACTCGCTTGCTAGATACGCGTGTGCACCTCGATACCTCACAAGCAATGTATTTCTTCTGCCGGGGCTGTGGTAGACTTCGCTGTGATTACTATAACAGTTTTCAGAGTAACGTCTTATAGGCTAACCTATGCGTTGATGGCTTCATATCTCCCGCTAACAAATAGTAATGGACCGTCCTAAAGTAGACATCGACCAGTCGTTACTGGTGTCAGCAACGAAAATAGAATTTCTCGAGAAGAGTTATGTGAAAGGGTTCAGACATTTTCTCAGCATTCCTGGCATAAACAGACTACGTAGACGCGACAGCTTTGTTAGCTACGTGGTGTACTGAATGGTGTGAGCGTCGCTGTAAGCTGCTCCATGATTGACTATATATATACTTGTTTTTATCGCTATTATTTCATGAAGTCAATACGTAATTATATTGATATCTATCTATCTGTCTGTCCTGTATGTCTGTCTGTGCTATCTGTCGTGTCTGTATATCTATCTATCTATTTATCTAATTTATTATGCCTTATCTCATCTATCTATCTATCTATCTAGCTATCTAATCTATCTATCTATCTATCTTCTTCTATCTATCTCATCTATCTACTATCTATCCTTATCTATCTATCTATTCTATATTTACCTAGCCATTCTATCTTTCTATCTATATTATCCATTCTCTTATTTCGCCCAGTGTTGCCCTTTTCGCTCCTTCTTTTCGTGGTCTTTCTTTCTTTCTACTATCTGTATCTAAGATAGAAGGAGAGCGTACGTAAATCGATTGCACCAATTTTTCTATATATAGGCTTTCTTTCTTTCGATCTGATTATTTATTTCGCCCTGCATCTTCCAGCTGTTCTCTCTTTCTCTCTTTCTCTATCTTCTCTCTCTCTCTTTCGTTTTTCTTTCTCTCTCTTTTCCCTTCGTTCTCACTCGCTCTCATTTCTCTCTAGTGCGGGCGCGTATCTCGTCGCCACGCTCTCTCGCCTTTACTTCCCCTATACCCCTCATGGCGCTGGTTAATCTCTCGCATCTCTTCCATTATTATCGGGCTTCCCTCTCTGCAAAGGCATTATAGCCATGAATCTAGATTAACCAGCCCGTCCCGATCGTCCCTAATCAGGCGTGACGTCAGCTGTCGAACAGACAGCGGTGATACTACGGCAGCAATGACAAAAAGTAATCTGTCATCGGCCGTATTGCGCCTTAACCATGGCAGCGTATTTCCTAATTATCTCTTGTTATAACGACAATGATAATACCGAACAGCATGGTCTTTTAATTAGTCACGAAGATGGCACCCCCGCGTTCATTAATCTATTATTAAAAACAATTTATCTGCTTGATTTGACGCGTCGTATGACCTGCGTAATCAGGTAAGGGACGTCCAATCCATCTCTATTTTGCAGGCGGGCTCTTTTGTTTCGTAACGAATAATGTAGCAAATTTTGGGCGGACATAAGAAATTCGATCGGCGCGGGAGTAACAGCGACTTGTTCGAGCGCAAACTGCAATTAAGGTTCGTCGCATCCCCGGTGTCTGCGTAGGACAAGGTTGCTGGGGTAACAGGCGGGGTGTATACGCGCATCAAGGCCCTGGGGGGGCTATCACTTGTGCGCATATTATACCCCCCTCAGGGGTCACAGTGCGACAGTGTCTGTCTCCAGGCTGTGCGCTGGACGCAGCAGCCGTGACGTGCCGCGTGGGTGGTAGAGATTAATGATTTTCTAGAGCTACCGCGTCCAGGCAGGTGCGGGTTGAATGAAATAGAGTAGACGCCGCTTCTGATCGAGTGAGGTCGAGAACCATGAAATTGTCCGATTAAGCGGTGGTCCGCCATTAAGCGGTGAACACTTAATCCAGCGTGGCGTGAAGGGTTGGTTTACACACAGAACATAGATCGTTTAAGCGATGCCCCCTTAAATGCGAATAAAAGCGAACCCCGATATCTCTGCTGCTCACAGCTCTGCTAGCGAGATGCTCTCCTATTGTGTTCTCACAGCTAGAGATGAATAGGTTTAATGTAGGCCTCACTTAGGGTTAATTTAGGTGGGGTAAGTGCGTTTATCGAATGGTTAAACGATACCGGCGTAATACCGCGCATACCGGTTGAAAATTTTAATAGTAGAAGATAAATAATAATATTGATATACAAATTGTACTACTATAACATAACACCTGGCTTATAATGAATACTACTATGTGACAATAATCTTTCATTACGAAGTGGCTAGCTGCGGTACTACTCCGCCTCCTATAGGATTCCAGTAGAGGCGATAACCGGTCAAACGATCTTATCACGAGCAGTGCTATCCAATCAAGTCGACATTACGCATTCTGCCCTAGAAGCCGTCCGGATCGCGACGACTGAACGGATTCTACAGCCTAATTCACAAGTCTTGCCATAAATTATGTGGAAGACGCCATACCGCCAGGGGCTGGACCGTGGCGAGATAAGCTGGCAAAGTTTACGCTACATCCATTCGGACAACAAGCGTGCTTATCCACACGTAACAACCTAATTGCAACATTATATGGGAATCGAGGTAAGAACAGTGCTGCTGTTGCTGCTGCCTACTTCACTACTTATGCTGCTTGCTTTGCTGCTGGCTGTTGTTGTTGTTGCTCGCTTGATCGTGGAGAACGAGTACATAACCGTGTTATAGTATTGCTGAATATCTGAGGAATATATATATATAATATAGTATATATATATCATATATATATTATATATTATACTATATATATATGATAATATGATATATATATATATATATATAATATATATACTAATATATATATATCATATATTATATATATATATATATATATAATATATAATTATAGATATATATGATTAGTAAGGACAGAAGGCACAGCGGCGCTAATGTGTTAGATAATACATATATATCAGTGCGGAGCAGGGAAGTGCACGACGTACGTTGTTTTGACATGAGTCTGCTGTGCGTGTCTTAACGTAACATTAGAGCGTTAACGTTATGATAGATGTTGGCTGGCGTTGGGATGCGCGTGCCGTCGGTACCAGATAGACGCACAACGACAGAAGCACCCACGCACACGCACCTACGCACACACCGCGATTAGGGTACTTAGCACCAAGGCACGCAACGCACTCACACACATAGACACGCACACGTACCCGCACGACAAGTAACGCACTACACGCAGGCACGCACGCGCACGCAGCACGCACGCACGACGCCCACAGCGCACGCATGACGCACACACGCCACGCACGCACGCACACCGCGACGCCCGCCACAGGCACACACACACACACACACACACATCACACACCTACACATAACACAACCACACACACACAACCTACCACACACCTACGCACACACCGCACGCACACACACGCACCTACGCATGTACGCCGACACCGACGGACGACATCACTCACCACGCACGAACATACGAGCACGCAAGCGCGACGCACGCGACGCACCTCGCACGCCGCAAACCCTGCTTATCAGCTCCACTTTGGTCTCTCCGAGACGACGCATGTTTCAGCTGATAGCCTGCAAATGAGCAGCTGTGTGACGTAACTGTGAGCGAGTCCACAATGGAGGGGCTTCATACGCTGATGTCTGATCACGCCCACCCCCACCCAAAACACAATGCATCGCCCGCACACGCGCCTTCTTTAACAAGACTTATCGTCTCTCCCTTATCGCGTCCGAAGAGTATAGGCGCGCTATCGAAATGGCCGTTTACTAGGTATGTAATTTTTTTGTTTGAAATGCGCGGGCATTATTGATGCGATCGTGAGCCAGTAATCTCGCGTTGCATACATGAACCTCGTAGTTGTGAATGTATGCATGTAGGCAGTCGTGGGGATTATGTGTCGCATCTATTTGTTCCTCTGGGAACGGCTGTTTGCTGACGACATCTTTTGTGGTGAGGTTGTGGATGGCGAAGCTCCCGTTGATGCGTTGCTTCGTGCACGGGAGTAGCAATGCGTTATTGGCTGCTCAGCAGAAGCGTGATCACCGCGAGCACAACGCACACGCGGACACCCCGCAACACATGCATGCCACGCCACGCACGCGGAGCTCACATAGCAGCAGAGAATACCGCCAACTGCAACGACCCACAACGCTGCATCGCGCACGCAACGCCCACACAACACACACACACAACACACAACACCACACACACACACACACACACCACAGACACACACACACACACACACACACACACACCACACACACACACACCAGCTCACACACACAACACGAAACCACACAAACAAGCACGCAACACACAGAGACACAGCACACACCACCACCACACACACACACACACACACACACACACACACACACACACACAGGCACACGCACACGTGCACGCGAGGCGAGCGCGTCGTAGATTCCCTACAACCATCACAGACCCCGCGCGACGTCATCCGTATAACTCGCGACTAAATGTCATGCTCGCATGCACTTACTCACGAGCTGTGACGTACGTCGCATGCTTCAGTAATGTCACGGGTGACCAGATTCTCCATCCCCCGTCACAGTCTCCCACAGGTTGCTTATCGACGGCCTTCCATCTGGATAAGATCTATCGACAAACAAAATCGAACTTCCATCAGCTCCTCCCCACTCATAAAATCGACAGCATTCCTTAATCGTTCGCAGCCTACTTATATATCAAGGATGCGTCAGTCAGGACCTATGGTGATTAGACAAGCCATTGCTTATCAGACGTTACCCCGTAGTTGTCTACCATTTGTCCCCATTCCCCATCCACCTTGTCCCCATATTTTCCTAACCCTACGTTGCGATCGAATCAGCGCTAAAGTAAGAGAAGGGCTTCAGAAGAAACCCGCACGGTGTGCCATCACGATGAGAGGCAGCGCTGCCGAACAAAGCTCTCGAGTTCGCGCTACTCTGTGTGCCATTGTTTAGCAACGTGACTATCGGACGCGGAGGCAGGGTCTGGAAACGTCATCGGTGTCATCGCAAGCAGATCTACCCTAACCCTAACCCTAACCCTAACCCTAAGCTTCGCTTGTAAACAGTATACTCATATACACGTGTGACTCATACCTGTATGCCTGCGTGCGTACGTGTGTGTGTTCTCTCGTTTGCGTGTGCGCGCGCGAATGCGTGCTTGCATGTGCGTTTGTCATAGCTCTCGCATTCGCTCTCTCGTCGCTCCTTCACTTTCTCCCCCCTCTCTCATTTGCTATTGTTCGTTCTCTTTCCCCCTCTCTCTCCATCTCTCTCTCTCGCGCTCTCTCTCCTTTGTATTTCTATCTCTCTCTCTCTCTCTCTGCCTATCTTTATATCTATCTCCTCCTTCTCGCTCTCTCACCATCTCTTACCTCGACACAGTGCTTGCAAAAAAACACAGAGCCTATTGTGTGGGCAGCAGATACCCCCCGCGCGCCTCTCTCCCTCACCCCTCTCTCTCATTATCGATCATTTTCCACTCGGGCGCGCGATCTCGCGGCTGATTGACGGTCGTGCTTTACAGGGCCGTTACAGCTGTCTGACACCATTTCACGCTCGCTTCCACCACACTTTGTCATGGCCCTGTCACGCCGTATTATGTGACGCCGCTGTGTCATCGCCTAGCAGCAGCATCTTCCCCGTCAGCGTGCGCCGTGAGAGCGGCGGTGTCCCGTAGACGTCTGCGGCTGTTTGTCACGGCAGCGGCCGCTTGTTATTGTTGCTAGTGTTGCTGCTGTTGTTGCTGCTGTTGCTACTGTTGTTACTGTTGTTACTGCTGTTGCTACTGTTGCTGCTGCTGTTGCTACTGTTGCTACTGTTGCTACTGTTGCTACTGTTGCTACTGTTGCTACTGTTGCTACTGTTGTTACTGTTGCTACTGTTGCTACTGTTGTTGCTGCTGTTGCTACTGTTGCTACTGTTGCTACTCTTGTTGCTGCTGTTGCTACTGTTGCTACTGTTACTACTGTTGTTGCTGCTGTTGCTACTAATGCTACTAATGCTATTGTTGCTACTGTTGCTACTGTTGCTACTGTTGCTACTGTTTTTGCTGCTGTTGCACTGTTGTTACTGTTGCAACTGTTGCTACTGTTGCTACTGTTGCTACTGTTGCTACTAATGCTACTAATGCTATTGTTGCTACTGTTGCTACTAATGCTATTTTGCTACTGTTGCTACTGTTGCTACTGTTACTACTGCTGCTACTAATGCTACTAATGATAACGAGAGGTTTATATAGGTTATATAACGAATATTATATATACATAGGCCGGGGATAGAAGGAAATGGAAAAGAAAAGGAGGAGAGACAAAGAGACAGACAGAGACAGAGAGACAGGAAGAGAGAGAGAGAGAGAGAGAGAGAGAGAGAGAGAGAGAGAGAGAGAGAGAGAGAGAGAGAGAGAGATTGAGGGAGACAGATGACGAGATAGCGATAGGAGAATATAGAGATTGTGAGAAAGGATGGGAGATAGAGGTTATTTTGGAAAATACTGTGTAAAATACTACGACATTATGGTCGATATCAACCATTTTTTTCAATGTAATCTAAATTTTAAATTCAATCAGCCGACAAAGCCGTCTAGACAATGGAAGATTAAACAAATAAAAATCGGTCGCCGGGACGGCCCCAGCCTCTCGCGAGATCTCGGACAAGCACAGACAGGCGAGGAGTGCTAAATTACGACGAGTCCCTCGATCAGAGGAAGACGATTTGACAGCGATTGGGCCGCATGTGGTGATCGAGACAGCTGCATTAATGCAGAAAACAATTACCGGGCAGAAGAGGAAAAGCAAAATGGTCATCAATTACGCTAAGGAGCAGAGACTTGTCCAGGGATGGGTAGTCGAATGCGGGCAAATTGGCGTGACGGGGCTGTACGGCACAGCTGATGACCGACGCAATGCGACACGAGTACAAACTAATGAGATGTCAGGCGCTATAACGTTCACGGTATTGTTTATACGTCATTACTGTACGAACGCTTCCTCGCGGTAACCTAGGAAACTCAGGAATAAGGAGGGATCTAGGACTTTCATTTGTGTCCTTTCTTTCCGGCTTCCTTGCGATTCCCCGCGATGCACTTTTAACAGACGTTAGATAAAACGATTATTGTGATTTTCGTCATAACTTTATAATCCACAGTCGTAAATCTGACAGGCATTGGCAGTAGATCGATTCCGAGGCGATGGTCACAATCAGAACCAATTCTGAGCATTTTATGTTTAAGCGATTTTATCCGCCATTGAAAACAAACTGGAAGCTGTTTCTTAGTTACGAAATTTCACCAGTATGCTAATTCCTAACATATTCCAACTGGTTTCCTGTGAGTCAAAGAGAATTGGTGATCAGATTAGTTATGTATTGCTTTACGAGTGTAGTCAGTAAGAAGGCAGCACCACTGCAAAACTGTTGACAGTTGATGAAAACCAATTTCAGTAATTCACGCTGCACTCATAACTTGTCTAACTTCAATTAGTCATTACATTAATAAAATTATTATTCAATGCGAGCAAAATATTCACCTAATTCACTTATCTAACGTATACAGAATTTTCACAGTGGTAAGCCTATGCACGAGTTGAGTCTATATAGCGGACCTCTTTTACTATTATTCGAACAGTATTTAGCTCGTATTACAGCGAATATTGCTTCAATTCGAAACTTCCAACAATGCCCATGCAGACCCACTATAACGAACGCGATTTGCTGACACTGAAAGTCATATATCGATATGTAGGCCTAAGTCAAATATGGATGTGCGAGAGGACAACAATCGTCACGTAGATGAAGATGCATCAAATATCAGATACACTCTAGTATATAGCTGAGTAGTGACACGTCCGTGCAGGTGCAGCGCCTATCGTGTGGGCTATCGCCCTTCACTGGCAGCGTGTGAAAATACATCGTATACACACTCTGTTGCACTGCCTCTCTAACCTCGCGTATATAACATGCCCACACACTGCACAGGAAATCACATTTCATCATTACCGCAACGATACTTCATCCGTCCGCGGAACGGAAACGGGAACGGAAACGCGTTAGCAATTTTTTTTATTCCTGAATAAAAATGACGCCTTTCGTGGCATTCGCGTAAAGCACCGACATTGTTGATGATAAAAAGCTTTCTAGTAGTAGTAAAGTTCGAAGTAAAAACGCAATTTCAATTGGATCTTTTCAGCAATCTAATGCATAAACTAATTAGTTTGCATCGCGAAAAACAACGAGAATCAATTCAAATGTCTTGTAAATTCACGCGAGAGTTGACGTGGGGGAGTGTCCGGATTAGATTCTAATGCAAACATGACTTGAAATTACGATTAGTGTAGGCGAAAAAACACAGACTTTTCGCAGACAGTCATGAGTAATTAATTTAAAATGCTCACACGTGTCAGAAATTAAGCGGAAAACCATAATTGCAGTTTGAAGGGAAGCATGAAATTAATTACTGGTGCAGTGAGCATTACCTAATTACATGCATACTGGTTTGATAATTAAGTGCTTTCAATTAATTAAAAGTTTTTTAAAGTTGGGCATCTCATCGTGTACGCGTGACGTAGGTATTAAGGCTGAATTATGATTGCAGGGAGTGAGAGATTGCGTCTACGCATCACCTTAACGTTTGTTAGGTTTGGGAATCACATGACAATTGCACCGTAAAACATTGGCTCCATTTAACGAGAAGAATGAGTTTGTCACGAACACATTTTGACGTTTTACACGGATTTTCCGTGAATTAAAATATTATACTATACAGATTCATATAATTTCAAATGCACGATTTTAGATTCTCATCTATATAGCCTTGCCACATAACAGACTATATCCGAACCCACTCCGGGCGCGTGTAAAGAATTCACAATGTAAAAAATAGTATCCTGTCGCTCGTTCGTTTTTTTTGTCGTTACAATTCACAAATAAAACGTTTCTGAACAAACATAAAACACGTGCGTGCTATTGTTAAATTTTCACTGAAGTGGTTTAATCAAACAAAGCTCCTCCTCGCAAGTACTTTAGTAATTACAGATGGCGCTCTGGCGGTCTAGCAGTGGGTGTTGTTAGTACACTCCACCGTCACCGCGTATAATAGCGTCCTAGACAAAAGGCAAAACGCAAATCATTTGTCTGTGGGACTGTCTTGCTCGTACGGCATGAGAGTCGTTCGTAGCTACCACTTCTCGTTTCATCGTTGTTCCACCGAAGCTTATATTGAAGGTCGAATATTGTGAAGACGCGTGATTGGACCATTTTAATTATCCGGGTTCAGGAAAATACAAAATAAATTATCTAAATTATCGGTTTTAAGATTCCAAAGAACTAGAATTTGCGATTTTATTTAGCTAGGAACTAAAAAATAGAATATTTTTGTACCTGAGATATGGGGAATGGACCCCCTTCCCCATTGTCTCTTCTATGTTCATGGTAAAAACTATATGCTGACACATTGCACAGATTGTATGCACTCATCGCCCAAGTTTCGTAAGATTGTGCCCGAAGTTATAGATGCAGCAGTGTGTGTGTCGACTACTTACTAATGGTTGCTATTACCGATGTGCTATACGTTAGTAAACGTGAGTAATGGAGGCAAGTAGCCGCAGT